GCAGCCCGCCGCCACCTCAACCCGTCCCACCGACCCCATCACCCCCACCACGGCCATTCGCACCCCCACCCCCACCACCCCCACCCCCTAGCACGGGTAGACCACCCCCATCGCCCCCATCTATGCCATTCCCGCCAAACCCCCAGTTCCCCATTCCATCACCACCGCCATCTCCACCACCGCCATCTCCACCACCACCGCCATCTCCACCACCACCGCCATCTCCACCACCGCCACCACCGCCATCTCCAACCCCACCATCTTCATCCCCACTGCCCGCCGCAACTTCACCGCTGCCACCCTCCTCTCCACAGCCTGTCAATGCAAGTCCCCGACCACTATCTCAACCTCCGCCACCACCACCAAGTCCGCCTCCCAAGGCCCCGTCTCCGCACCCGCCGGCTCCGAAGAACCCCAAGCCCCCAAAAGTACCAAGCTCCCCCAAAGCTCCCAAAGCGCCCAGCTCACCAAAAGCGCCCAAGCCCCCCAAGGTTCCCAAGGCACCGCAGCCCTCTCCGCCACCCCCTCTCGGTGGGGACAACAACTTCCTTGTGGTTAATTTCCCCTTCTTCGCGTCCTGCAGTGTCCGTGACACTTACCTGCGGCCACCGTACCAAGTAGTATCGCCAACAGGACCCCTGAACGCCACCGCCACTCATGCCACCTACTGCTTCCGCCTCATAGCCACAACGCAGGGAGCGAATAGCAGCTCCTGTACGGGAATGAAGATCAACAGACTTGAGTTCATCGTCAGTAAGTTGACAGGACCGCGTGTTGTGTAGTGCGGGGTGATGACCTGCAGGGTTGGCGCGGATTAGCATACATACATACATACATACATATTTTTTGTCGAAAACCCAGCGCTGGACTCCACAGCGGGGGAGGATGGGCGGAGGGGAGATGGCCCCATAGCAGAAATGCTCCGCACAGCTGGGCCAGCCATGATGGATAGTCACCGTCAGCTTCATCCCCTGCGCCATGACTACACCCACCTCTACCGAGCGCCCCGCCCAGGAGGCTCCCGACTGGATCGCATTTATGTGAATCAAGCCGTGATGCCGTATGTTGCTCGCACGGAGATTATCCAGCACACCCCCTCAGATCACCAGCCGATGGTCCTACACCTGCTGCCTAGCCGGGTTGAACAGAGGGGCCCGGGCATTCGCCGGGTGCGCATGGCCTTTACAGCGCATGAAGACCTGGCCACGAGCCTGGAGGCCTGGATTACCGACCAGTGTGCCGCGGCCCCATCTGTGGAGGACAATCCTGCTGGCCTGATCGAGTGGTGGCCTGCCTTCAAACGCCGCCTCGCTACTCGTGCACATCAGCTCAACAAAACAGCGCAACATCGCAGGCTGCGCCCAGGAGCCCGTGTACAAGCAGCCCTACCAGCAGTCCAGCAGGCCCGACAAAGGGTCGACACAGAACCCGGAGCACAGCAGCCCTTACAGCAACTGGTGGACGCACAGGCGGCACTAGCACGG